TTTGCTTGTTGTTTTTTCCCCTAATCCTATCCAAAAAGGGATGACAAACCCTATTCCAAACTTTGGTTTCTCCCCTTTTCTCGGATGCTGGCCAAACTCCACAAAATAAAACTGAAGAAAATGATGATAATTATGCAACATTCAGAACAAAGAACATAAGAATATATTTTTTTAAATGATTCATTGTGCACTTATGCCTGTAATGGGATTTTAGCGCACTGTAAAAATAAGTGCGCTGGCTCACTTAGCTTCACACGCAAAACTTACGCAGGGAGCTGAATAACTCAAAGATGGGGTGGGTTTTGGTTTTTGTTTTTTTTTTTTCAGGAGTAGAAGTGTGAAGGGAAACCTCGGATGTATAAAGAAACTTATGGGTGTTGTTGTTTTTTTTAAACCTCACCCGGGGGTATGTTTTCATTGATTTTAGAGAGGGAGAGAAACAGCAATGTGAGAGAAACACATCAATCGGTTGCCTCCCATATGCACCCCAACTGGGAACTGAACCCGAAACCTAGATATGTTTCCTGACTGGGAACTGAACTGGAAACATTTTTGGTGTACAGGACAACACTCCCACCAACCGAGCCACTCGGCCAGGGCAAGAAGCTTGTTTTTTAATCACAGACAGAGCAACACAGCCTATCAATAGGTTTCCACAGCTAAGAGGGACCCTCCTGAGACCTCAGAAACAACAAAAATTAAGTTACGATCTCATAGGATACTCCCCCTTCTATTTTGTACACCAAGTCTTAGCTTCTAAAGAGCTAAAAAGGCAAGAAGTGGAGAGAAATTTTAGCCAAACAAGATTCTTAGGAAATCTTTGGGAATTATATTTCCACTATATGTCTACAAACGATTTGTTGGATATGTAACTGTTACGACTGTAGACCGCAACATGTTCCTATCTCGTTTGCCTAGCCACACATATACATGTTTCTCTTTGTCTCACTGAGCCTGACATTTGGCCAGCAGGTTTTTCTCCCCCTTATTTGAAATCTCAAGCACTGAAAAAAATTTGGATCTGATTATTTCCGGATCACAGGACCAGCACTTTAAAATGGATGAAATGCAAGCAAATTGCCCACCAGAGCCGGAGGGGGTAAATGCTTTCAAAATAACTCATACCTTTCTGCTACGAATGTGCTAGCCCCTCCACGGCTTTCCCAGAACATCAGATCAGGGTGGCTTCTGATTCAGATGAAGAAACTCTACCAGGTAACACCACCAAAACCATCATGCTGACTCTCCACCACCGGCAGCCCCTAACATCCATGCACACAACCTATAATTGCTTTCCTTTTTAGTTTTCCTTTAAAAATGTGTGTGTGTGTGTGTGTGTGTGTGTGTGTGTGTGTGTGTGTGTGTGTTCTAGCTTTAAAAAAAAGAAAGGAAGGAAAGAAAAAGATTGACTTCTTTTTGGCATTTACAGTCACATTATGACGGCTGTTTACTAATGGCAGAGCCCACATTTGTCATGATCATCAGCCCCCTTTTATTGCTAGGACGTGTCTAGCCTCAGTACATGATGAAAAGGACCCAGTGAGTCTCTGTGAATTATCTGGTGTTGGTCTGGGAAGAGCAACTCTGGACAAACAGAATTATCTGGTAAACTAAGACGCTTTCTAACGATGACATAGATACTAGTTACCAATTTCTAAAAATACCAAAAGCAAAATATTTTAAATTCTCTGGGAACAATCTGGAGCATGTAGTGAACACCAGCTCTCGACCGACAACACACGCATGTAGAAGGTACAAGCTGTAGAAACAGAAACAAATATTGGAAACAGGAAACCTTAAAAAATGCCACTCACTGTCTGTAGCTTTGAGCACATCCTAGAACCTGAGGGTCTTCATCTATAAAACAGGGATCACAGTAATAAGAGCCAGTATCTGCCCGGCACTCTACAGCCTGGGAAGCACTTCTCCGTCTGCTCCCCCGGAACAGCCCACAAGGTAGGCAGAGCACAGCTGGCGTGAGGGCAGATGAGAGAGTGTGCGGGAACACACATTGAAAACTGTAAAGCTCTGTGCACGGGACCGAGAGTCATCAGGCCATCGCCACAAAGCTGACCGCCTCCTTAAAGCCCAGATGTTTACCTTCTTTCCTTGTCAGAACTTCCAAAAGCAGAGTGTCGGGTGTTTAATAATAAAAAAGAAAAACACAGCATCTGGTAATTTGGCCTTTCCAGCTGTTTGGAATCTGGATAAACGGGACTCTGCCATAAACAGATCGTGATTCTTATTGTAAATGATGATAATGTTAGTCCATGACGTCGCACCATCCCCGGCGCCTCCTGACTAGAGACCTGGAAACGCAGAGGACCTCAACATTGACGGATACGCTCCCTTCCTCGGCTTAGGGTCTGTCCAAGGCAGAAGGCAGATCATCTGAAACCTGATTCCAGACCAAGCAATACTGTCTTCTCTCCGGTCACTGGGCAGCCGTGGCCACTAAAGACCTGAAGCCTGGTTCCTCTCAGCTTCCTCTGGCTAGCACACCTCTGGCTCTTCACAGTCAAAGTTTTAAAAATCAGACCTTCCTCCCTCTTCACCGTCTCTCCGTTACCTCAAGTATCACTGACTCCCGCTTGGTGCCCTGCATGAATTAATAAAAGAAACCCCTCCCACCTTTTTTATAAAGCATTCTTGCAACCATTGTCTCATTTACCCTGGGAGGTAAGCATTATGACCTGTCGCGCAAATAAAAAACCAGAGGTGGAGAACATTAAATACATTACAAGAATAAATCCCCCAGCCAACCAGGCATGGAGGCAGCCCTTTCACACTCTCACTAATGCTCTCCTCAGTCTTTCAAAGGAAGTCTCCCGCTAGATTTACAGACGAGGAAACTAAGGCTCAGAGAGTAAAATCACTGCCCCCAAGGCGCCACCGGTCACCCGTGGCAAGGTCTCACAATTCCCAGCACAGTCAATAAACATTTTCCTATTGGTATTTCTATCTGTCTGTTTCCAATAAGCCCCAGGCTTGGAACTAAACACCAAACATCCAAAGGGTTGCGTGGTCTGGGGGATGTTTTGGTGGGAATGGGGCAGTGTCAGGGCGCCGTTTCCTTACGGCACGCTGAGAGAGCTGCCGACGCTCTGGCTTTCTCTCAGGCCCATTTTGAAGAAGAGGCTGGGACAGAGGCTGGGTCAGACACTTCTAGAAATCTCTTCAAGCCCAGGTCCATGAGCACTGGGTTGGCCAGAGAACCCCAGCTAGACCTGCTGGGTAGCTTTTTCCCTCAAGATGCGTCCCCCACCCTCAGTCCTCCATGTCTTCATCTTTCAAATGGGGGTGATAAATCCCACCCTACCAGACTGGCCAGAGACTGAAGAAAACAGTTTAGAAGCCTCTTACAAAATGCATAACCAGAAAGATCATCTTATATGGTACAAAGAAAGTGGTTCTTCCTCCTAGGCCTTTATCCTCTCCTACACTTTCCAAATACAATCCTAACTTAAAGATCTCATAATTTAGACGGGGAGGGGGGGGTGTATGCATAAAAATAACTGGGTTTTGGAGAATGGAAGTGTAAGATCAGTACACAACGCATCTAGATAAAAGGAACAAAGGCTATGTTTGATAGGCATTCACTAGGTCTGCGGAGACTCCGTCTTCAGATGATCACTCCGATAGTTTAAAATCCCAAACGTTGTAAGAGGGTATCTGTTTAAGGGAAGATTGTGCATGGAGGGGGGCAAGCCAGGAGGCTCAGGCCAGCAAACGTTACTCCCGTCCTGCTGCACAGCACGCCTCTCTCTCTAGTATGAGAGAACCTCGTGTGTGTCGTCCAGCAAAAATGCTCTAAAGGTGGTTTTTCTATATCTTTCCTCTCAGGTGTGATCTCTGTCTCTTGGAAAGGACACTAACATCTAAAACAGTAAGAAATAGCGCTCTCCTACAAAGTCAGGTGTTTCCATCAAGAAGAAAAAGCACTGTGTATGTCTTTTTCACCTTTCCAGTCCCTGAACTGGGGAGCGGGGTCTTTTTTACCCAGCAGGAGGTCTCCTCTCTCAAGGTAAGCTGCCCTACCTTTTCGAAGTTGCCGGGGCGCTGCTAAAGGAGTGATAAAATAAGCTGTTTCTGTCTTCCTTGAGAATCACCTGGAAAGAACCAAGGGGTCCCAAATGCTAAAACAATGAAAGCCCAAAGCCTTGCTTTCTCCTCCAGGAGGGAGGAGGTGGGGGGTGGGGGGCACACTGCCTTAACAGTTTCCCCCAATTTCTGGTTAATTATCTGTCAGCATGAAACTTATAAATAATGGCTCAATAATAATTAACTGTGATGAGAACATGTTCATGAGAATCCTAGCATCATCACTGACTTTGAGCCCATAGACTGTACTGGGGCCTGTACCTTAAACCCACTGGCATCGCTGGGGAGAGGGAGAGTATTGCAAAGCAACTTTTTACCAGAGACTGTGCTTCTGATGCATCGGGTACAGAAAAGCCATTTTTCAAGTCAGAACTTGACTCGGGCTGTATCTATAGATCATGAAACTTTCCATCAGGAATCCAGAAATCATCTGGTGTAATTAATTCCTTCCTTGACGGATGGGGAAACTGAGGGTCCCAAGAGGGGAGGGGTCTGGCTGGCCTCTGGTTTCTGCTATCTAGGGAGATTGGAATAGCTGAAAATATGCCTTTAACTAGCAGAGAGACAGAGAGAGAGAGAGAAAGACAGAGAGAGAGACTGACTCTAGTAGCTACTCACCCCAATTTATAGTAAGATTTTTGACAAGTTTCACACTTTTATCAGAAACATAAGCAAAATTATGTAATCTGACCTTACGAGGCATACGTCCCTCAAATAAGCTTATTTAGCTTAAATTAGATGCTGCTTAACCAAGCACCGCTTTAGGATGACCAGCTAATACCGAACAACTGGAGAGAACACGGTGACCTCCGGGAAGTCCGACCGAGCTCTCGAGCTCTCGGGAGGATTCCTGCACAGGCTGCGGGCTCCCGGCCGCGCATTGGCAGGGCCGCACTTACCCTTCCCCACGGCGGCCTTGGATGCACCGTAGTCCCGGGGGCTCCGGGGCCTGAGGAGGTCCTGGGCTCGAAGCGGGGGCGCCGACAGCCGGGGCAGCAGCTCACGAGGGTCCCCATCCCCGCAGCAGCCACCGCCCACGGCAACCCTGAAGGCCATGTGCGCGCCGAGGCCTGCGGGCCCGCGGGCGGGGCCCGGGGCTTCCTTCGGCCTCCGGTCGGAGTGCGCCTCGGCCACCTCGCAGTGCATGGCGCCGGGGCGGGGCGCAGACGGGGGTCGCGCCGGCTCCTGCGGAGAGGAGACCGCGGGAGCGTTAGCATCAAGGGCGACTCCCGTCGCCGCCGGGGCGAGACTGGGCGGCTCGTCCGCCTCGGTTTACCCCTCGCTCCCCCGCGGGCGGCCACAGCACCCTGCCCCTGCCCTGACCAGCCCACCTGACCCCGGGCGGTCCCGAGCGGCTCGCACTTTCCTCCCCGGGCGCCGGGGGTCCCCGCTGCGCGCCGCCTCGGCGCCTCCTCCGAAGCCCTCCACCCTCCCAACCAAACCCGCCTCCCCCGAAGCCAGCCCTGCTCCGGGGCCTGGGGAAACTGAGGCCTGGGTGGGAGAGCGCCTGGGCGGCGTCCCCGTGAGACGGGGTGGGCGGGGTGAGGATTCCCGGGCGGCGCCGGCTCCGGGGCTCCGGGGCTCCGGGACAGGGATGCGCACCAGTCGCGCTCTGCGCACCGCCGGTCCCGGGGGCAGAGATTCGCCCACGGCCACCTGAGCCGCGCCGGCCGCTCCCTCCCGCGAGGCGAACCCACTCCCACGCGCAGCCGGAAACGGAGCCGGCAGCGCTCACGGACCCGCAGAGGCAGTAACACCAGGCACGCGCCCCCCCACCCCATGCGCACCACACACCCCGCAAACGCACACGGAGACACCGCGCACCACGCACACCGCTCTCTCACTCACCCTCGCAGACACTCGGCCACCCCGCAGCCGCCGGTCTCCCACCCGCACCCGCACGCACGCCGGGTCCCTCTCCACAGCGCCTCCGCCCCTCCATCACCCCTCCCGGGAAGAGGGCCCGGGCCCCCACCTCTCCTTCCCCCGGGGGCTCCCCACGCTATCCCGAAGTTCTTCAGACGTGAGCGTCGCTGGGAGAGCACCCCCGTATCTCCGGCCCGGACCGGCCCCTCCCCGCGCCGGGCCGCGCCCCCTCTCACCTCGCACGGCCGCCGCAGCTGTCGGGGCGCACGGCTCGCCGTGCCTCCACTGGCGCCGCAGCCCCCGCAGCCGCCGCCGCGGCCCCGGCGTCCTGTGGGGCGGCACCCCGTGGGGGCGGGGCCAAGGCCTGCCCGACAGCCCGTCCGGCCACTGGCTCGCTGAGGCCGCCCCGCCGCGGCCAATCGCGGGGCGGGGGCGGGGCCTCCCCGGCTGGGGGGCCTGGGCGGGGCTGGCAGAAGGTTTGACAGGCCGGAGCCGCCAGAGTCCTGCGCTGCCCGCCGCCCTCCAGCCGAAGAGCGGGCCGGGCCGGGCCGGGGGGCGGTGCCGCGGGGACAGAGGCCGGGCTCGGCCGTGGGGACCGGCGCGGCCTGGGCGGCGGGGAGATTGGGCGTCAGTAGAACCGCTGGCCCCGGCGATGTCCCGCTCTCTCCCGGCGGCTGGGGCAGGACCCTTCCCCTGTCCCTGGTCAGTTTTCTTCCGCTCACATGGGAAGGGTGAGCCCTGCTGAAGGGAGGAGATCGACGTGAAAGTGCTTTAAAAGTTGCCTTGAGCCTTGACCAGTTTGGCTCAGTGGATAGAGCGTCGGCCTGCGGACTGAAGGGTCCCGGGTTCGATTCTGGTCAAGGGTATGTACCTTGGTTGTGGGCACATCCCCAGTGGGGAGTGTGCAGGAGGCAGCTGATCGATGTTTCTCTCTCATCGATGTTTCTAACTCTCTATCCCTCTCCCTTCCTCTCTGTAAAAAAAAAAAAATCAATAAAATATATTTTTTTAAAAAGTTGCCTTGAGCACGCAGCGCGCTCCCTTGAGCGCTCACACAGATCCTCAGCGAGTTCGAGGCAGCCGGGACCCTAACCCAGGGCTCTCGGGTCACTCTCCGGACGTTCCTGGGTGTGTGGTGTCTTTCACGGGGAAGAGCCGGGCAAGAGGGGCTCGCACTCCAAGAATAAAAGGCCAACAAGCAAAAGCAGTTGAGAAAATATTCCAAGTGAACCTGTGCCTCTGCCCGGGGTGGGGCTCCCGCGCCGAGATGTCTGCGAGTTCCCAGGAGCGGACAGCCCTGGGGGTGAGACCCGCTCGTCCGCGTCTCCGTTCCTCCGGAGCCTGGACCCGGGCCCCTGCGTGGCTCCCCGCACAGACAGCCGTGTCTCGGAGACCCCTGCCCGATGTGCAGAGAGAACACTGGACCCAGAGCAGCGGCTCAGCTCCCTTCTCTGCTCCGCGTGCAAACCCGGGTTACTCAACCGGGCCCAGCGAACCTGCCGAGGCTGCTGGGGGATCCCGCAAGGCCCGGAGGAGGGCCCTGCCTTTCATCTGGGCTGGCCTCCTGCCCTGCGAGTAGGTGATTTGGGAGGCGCTAAGGGTCCTGTCTGGCTTCACACTCTTTGGCCTTGGTCTCAGATTGAAAAATCATATGGTGAGGTGTCACAACACAGGATTGTGCACAGTGATACGCCTTAAACCGCATCCCCGGAACCGTCAAAAACCAGGATTTTAGAATCACAGGCTTTTAAAATCTGATTTCCTATAAGTGATTAAATATAGCATCTGACATTTAGAGAGCAACAATGGTGGAAAGGACCTTGGAGACTGAGTTAGAGACCCACCCCACATGCGGTGGAGAGAGGATGTGACTGGCCCACAGCAGTATGGTGGGTATGGCCGAGCTGGCACAGAATCTAGGCTTCCCAACTCCCAGTCCAGTGTTCTTCCTCCTATACCATCCAGTCTACAAGATGCAAGATATTAACCAACCACACCCATTATTCACAAGCCAAGGCCTGCACAGGGCATCTCAAAGATCTTGTCTCTGTCTAGGGATTTAGAGTTGCTACTTGTATGGCAGGAGGGGAAGGGATAGAAAGGAGCAAGAGTAGCTTACCAACCCTCCCACCCTGCCACCAGGCGCTCCTCCCCTCCCACAAACACTTCTGGGGTTCCTGTGTTGGCTTATATACTTCATAGCTTTGTAATGACCTTTCCTATGCTAACATTTTTCCCTCTGTCCATCCTTATACTCCTTCCTATGAATCTTCAAGTCCTGTGGCTTTAGGCAAATCATAACCTTAATTTGGACCTCAGTGTTCCCCTCAAAAAGTGAGAAGATGGCCCCAGCCCGTGTGTCTTAGTGGCTGAGCGTCGACCCATGAACCAAGAGGTGCCTGGTTCGATTCCCGGTCAGGCCATATGCCTGGGTTGCAGGCTTGATCCCCAGTAGCAGGCATGCAGGAAGCAGCCGATCCATGTCTCTCATCAGTGTTTCTATCTCTCTCCCTTCCTCTCTCTCTAAAGTCAATAAAAACATTTGTTTTTAAGTGAGAAGGTGGAAGATCACTGGCCTTTCCAGTTCTAACTTCAGTGAGTCCAGAAGCTGGGTCCTCTGCCCTTCCTCCCTCACCACACACAACACTGCAAACTTAGTCAAGACTCTGCAAACATTTGCTGAATAAGTCACTTAACCAATTGGAACTGCACACAAAGGCCTTCAAGTTTCTAAGATGCAGCAACAGTTCATTCATTTACTCTTTACTCTTTACTCATAATCCTACCCTGAGCTAGCCCCCATACTAGCCAGGAGTATGGAGATCTTGTCTCTCCCCAGTGAGTACACAGACCTGCCCCACCAGGACAGATGGGTTTGTGAAGCCGGGCAAAGCAACGAGAAAGTTAACTTGCTCAATAAAATGGACTTCTTAAACACTGTATATCGCAGGACCCCTTTGGGGATATACAGAATCCAGTGGGTATATGCATTTTGTTTTCCTAGAAGGAAACACAAGAAAGTGTTAACAAGTGGTTAAGGGAATGGAGGACTGGGGGTTGGCCTGTACTTTTTATGTTATGCTTTTCTGAACTGTGTGTATTTTCTGACAATATATATTATCCTCCCTCCCTTTCAACAGGGGTTATTTAAGTAGTAGGATTATGGGCTATATTTTTCTTTATACTTTTAGTATTAAAATAAAACTCATTAATATTTTAACTGTCAAGAACAAAACAAGCCTAGCTGGTTTGACTCAGTGGTAGAGTGTTGGCCTGCAGATTGAAGGGTCCCAGGTTCAATTCTGGTCAAGGGCATATGCCCAGATTGCGGGCTCGATCTCTGGTAGGGGGTGTGCAGGAGGCAGCCGATGGATGATTCTCATTGATGTTTCTATCTCTCTCTCCCTTCCTCTCTGAAATTAATTTTAAAAAAGAAGAAAATAAAGCAAAACAAATAAAACCCATTTCTCTCTTCAGCAAACCAATGTGTGTGTTTTTTACACATCCATGTTCCAGCTTAAACTCTCTTTTGCCTTCTAATCCCACATATAGTCTGCCTACTGCATATCCATCTGGATCCATCTGCAAAAACAAACATGTATTCTTCTCTGACTTTGCTCCTTGTTCCAATGTCTCTTCTTAGGTAAATGGCCCCATGGCCAAGTCCCCCAAGTCAGAAATCTGAGAATCATCCTAGGCCCCTGCTCTCCCACACTCCCATAACTTATTTGCCATAAAGCATCAATTGATCCTCTTCCTCTTTATCCTCTCTACTACACTTTTCCCACCTCTTCTTCCCACCTCCAGTCTCATCCTCTTCACTGTCATTCATTTTCCATACTGGTCTCCCTAGTAATCTCTAAACTAGAGATTCGACCATGTCACTTCCCTGTTTAAACCAATGATCCCAATAGCCATCTAAATAGATTCAAACCATTCCCTTAACCTACCACTTAGCCCTAGTCTATGTCCCAAGCACCCTAAAGTATTTTCTATCTCCTAGAACCCAGAACATATGTTCATGCCTTCATAGCTTTGTATATGATGTTTCTTATACTAACAGTTTTCCCTCTTGTCCATCTTCATACTCTCTCCTATGAATCATTTAATGCCTAGCTCAAGTGTCATCTTTTCCCAGAAGCCTTCCCTGAATCCTCTGGCTGGAATTGTTTTCTTCCTGGGCACTCTCACAGCAATCTCTGCTTCATTCTATCTCAGAACTTATTAGACCGCTTTATAACTACCCATTGAACAGTTGGTCTCTCCCTCTACCAGTGGTTCTCAACCTTCTGGCCCTTTAAATACAGTTCC